TCCCATAAAAATGCCTGAGAAAGAGTGCATGTCGCGTCATCAAGCCTTGCCTTGCCCTTAGGCTCAGATGTCCCTGAAACAAATCCACAAACTGTAAGCTAATGCTTAGTGAGTTCCCCAGAGCATACCTCACACAATCCATATAATCACATAATCATATTAGCTATAAAAGCTACATAAACCACATAACTCATGCATACAAACATATAAGGACGTTGTGGGATCCTCTCGAGGTCTTTCTCCAGGATGTCATGGGCTCCCCCACATGGTCTTACACCTAAGTGTCATGGGCTCCCCCCATGGTCTTTAGCTGGAAGGCCATGTGTAACGCCCCGTTCCCGATACGTATTTAGTTCATTAAATGCTCATTTTATAAGAGCTACTCGACGAGTTGGTAGCCCTAACTCGTCGAGTAGAGGCCAGTTTAATCGTGGGGTTTAAGTGGACTACTCGACGAGTCAGGAATGGACTCGGCGAGTAGGTCCATCAGGAGGAAACCCTAATCCTTAGGGTTTGCACCCTATTTAAGCAACATTATGAGTCTTCACCTCAGCCCCCATCACCTTCACAACCTACTCTCGAAACCCTAATAAATCTTGTGCATCCTTGAGCCATTTTTCCTTATATTTGGGTGATTGAAGTTAGGAGAAGGAAGGAAACCCTTGGTGATTCAAGAAGAGGCAGTAGATCCGAAGCTTCCAGTGCATTTCAGAAACTTTGAAGGTATAAAGCTTATACCTTGGCTTATTTTCACTTAGATCTTCATGAAAGCTTGTTTGTTGCCACTTTTGAGTCATTTCCAAGTCCATTTTCGAATAGTGAGCATTTGGGGAGGTAAGGACTTCAGATCTAGACACTCATGAGCTCCAGAAGCTTAAAGTTGCCACCTTTATTCGACCATGTCCCCATTCTATGCATCTAACCTCCATTTATGGCTATGTCTTAGTGTTTAAGCTCCATATCATCATGCATGAACGTAAAGTTAGCAACTTTACGTGTAATGCTAGCTTAGGGAGCCCAGATCCATGTATTGGAAGCATCGAAATGGATTAGAATCGACTGAATGGATATGTCACAAGGAGGACTCGGCGAGTTGTTCTCGGACTCGGCGAGTCGGGTCGTGAACCCTAACTCCTTTTCTGATTTGGAATAGGACCAGTGAGTGGAGTGGTGACTCAGTGGGTGGAACAGGACCTGGACACGAAAGTTGAAGAACTCGACGAGTCTACGAAGGGACTCAACGAGTTAGAGTCGATATGTCCCTTTCCTGATTACGCTAGGACTCAGCGAGTCTAAGGACGACTCGATGAGTCAGTTCGACCAGTCGCGATGTCAATTAGCATGAGGACTCGGCGAGTCATAGGGTGACTCGGCGAGTAAGTCAACTCAGAAGGTTGACTTTGGTCAGGACGTTGACTTTGACCAGGGGTAAAATGGTCATTTTACCCTAAGAAGGATTATCAGTTTTTGATTAAGTGTTGTTATGGAATTATAGCCGGAGAGTCGCCGAAGTAGCAGATAGGGATCCCTCACCCAGTTTTTCAGCAGTCAGCCATACGAGGTGAGTCCTCTTCCAGTAGGAACAGGTCTAAGGCACCAAGGCCGGTCCGTTTAAGTAGTTGTAGTATGTCGGGGTAAGCCCGATGCAATTTATATGTTTCCGGACTTTGGTCCGATGCCGGGGCGGTCCCGAGAAGTAGTTAAGTATGCATGATGTCTTTGTGATTCATGCAGGTTATATGATATGTGTTATGTGTTCCGGGGTAAACCCGATGTCGGGGCAAGCCCGATGTATGTTAGCTATTATGCCATGTATTATGTGTTTCGGGGCAAGCCTGATGTATGCTAGCTTATATATTATATGTTTCGGGCTTCGGTCCGATGCCGGGGCAAGACCGATGCAGATTATGTGATGATGTTATGTGCTTATGATATATGTTATGTTGTGTATGTGCCGGGGTAAGCCCGATGTCGGGGCAAGCCCGATGCCCGATGCCCGATGCCCGATACGGACGAATGTCGGGGTGAGCCCGATGCCCGATACGGACGAATGTCGGGGTGAGCCCGATGCCGGACAGGAGTTCGATGTCGGGATTCGTTCCGATGCAGTTGGGAGTAGTCCCAGAGTCATGTTATTTGCTATACGTGCTTTGTATGGTATGTGGTAGTTTGGAGGGGAGGGGGGGGCTCACTAAGCTTCGTGCTTACAATTTCAGTTTTGGTTTTAGGTACTTCAGCTAGCAAGGGAAAGGGCTCGGGATGATGGCATGGCACACACCACAGTTTTCTTAGCCTGGGAGTTTACTCTGATATGTTATATGAGATTGTGATATGATGACAAATTTTATGAGATTTGAGATACATGTTTTATGATTTTATACTATGGCGATGATATTTATGTTTGTTAAATGATTTTGAATACGAAATTTTTGGCTAGTATATTTGGGATGTTTCACCATGGGCTCCCCCATATGGTCTTACATCCAAGTGTCATGGGCTCCTCCCATGGTCTTTGCTTGAAAAGCCATGGGCTCCCCCACATGGTCTTACATCCAAGTGTCATGGGCTCCCCCATGGTCTTCCCTGCAAGTACCACATATATAACTAGCATAACTGACTATCACACCACGTATCTCTACAACAACGAGTGTACCATATATCACAAAATGGGTCGGCCTTGGTGCCTTCGACCCATTGGTATGGTGAGGAGACTCACCTCTCGTGAATGCTGAACTGACAAGATAAGATCAGATAGTCCCATACACTGCTCCAACTCAACTGCCTATAATCATCATGTGATTAACTTGTCACAATCCCGAAATACCATAATGCCCTCAAAGTCAACCCTGGTCACAGTCAAGGTCAACAGTCCATGTTGACCTCAACTCGTCGAGTTACCTGAGTAACTCGTTAACTCGCGCAAGTTACCTGTGTAACTCGTCGAGTTCCTCAATGTCCAGAAGACCGAAAACTCGTGTAGACCGAAAACTCCGATCCTTCACAGAAATCACTCGGAATCTCGAAAACGGGTAAACCCTACCCAACTCGTCAAGTTGGCTAAGGGACTCGATGAGTTCATTCAGTCCTCTTTGTGTTCAGACGTTTTTGAGCTACCCCAAAGCTCCAGATTGCAGATCTAGCCTCCTAAGGCATTGTTTACACGTAAAGTTGCAAACTTTACGTGCATGCAAGCTCTCAAATGCCAAAACCAAGCTAAGGGAGGGGTTTTAGCCAAAGAGAAAGGGCCAATGCTTGATAAATTCAGTGCCTTTATAACTCTAATGACTTAGAGGAGTCCTAATCTGAATTTATAACTTCAGATCATGCCCAATACCCGAAATGCTTCTTCAAATGTACTAAAAATGACCTTAAACCTAAGAAAAAGGGGATCTAATGCTAGGATGACCAAGGTAACAACTTGTTACCTTCAAATGGATGCCCAAACGTTGTAGATGCTGGATCAACAATCTCCTTCCCATTCCAAGCTTCTCAACCTTCAAACTCCTTCAACAAACTACACCAAAAGCACCCTTTTAGTCTCACAAGCATAAGGAAGCAACAAAGAACGGCTATGGTTTCTTCTCTGGGTAATGAAGTGGTAAGGGAGGCCACAAGAGGCAGATTAAGTTATTTATATAGGGTGCAAACCCTAAAAATTAGGGTTTTCCTTTACAACGCCTACTCGTCGAGTAGGATCTGAATCCTGTGTCCTCATAAATGATCTCTACTCGACGAGATGGAGCTCCCCAACTCGTCGAGTCCTAGGATAAAACCCTAAAACTTAAGAAAAATTAAATGATACCTGGAACAGGTGTTACAGCTACCAGCTACAAGTTACCTGCTATCAACTATTTTGTCGAACACGCCCTTTGTTGGATGCATTTCATATTCCAAAAAATAAACAATGCAGAATGATATTAGGTTTTACGGTAAACTCAACATATTATATAACCCAATATATCCATCTCATCCACTCATTTAATGATTAGGCATACAGTTCATCAATGAAACTGGTAAAATGTGTGTTACAAGGAAAAAAAAAGGTCAGATCATCAATTTTACCGGTAATTCATGTTTTGTTATAAACAAATTTTAGTTCTGGACTTATTTGTAAATTATGATAAAACAATGAGACTTTAATGGAGATTTCTCCAAATCATTTAATGAGTAGGCGTCCACATCAGCAATGAACCCGATAAACCAGGAAAATGATCAAATCGTCATTTTTATCGATAACTTATGTTTTTTCGTAAATAATTTTTAATTTGTGACTTATTCGTAAATTAAGATATGTGTGTAGTGGGTTGTAAAGATTGAAGAAATGCTAGAAAATGAATACAAGGGTTAGGGATGTTCACGGTCCGTTTTTTTAGGTTAAACCGAAGCCAAAGTTAGTAATGTTTTTTGTCAATCGAAAACTAAAGTCGAACCATTGAAAATTAAAATCAAACCAAACTGAACTGTTACTAACGGTTTGGCTCCGATTTGATTTTACGGTTTGGACTTTTTAAGTTTATTTGAGTCGAGCACGTTAGATTAATTTTGATTTTTTTTTTAAGAACTTCTATCAAAACAGTCAAAAATTTTGCTTATTGGAGTGGAGAGTACCGTATATTAATCCCTCAGCCCTATTGTCAAAACAATCATAAAATTTACTTAATAACCAACAAGGATATGTGTAATGGATTGACTACTACCTAATTTACTAAGTTTGATTTATGAGACATAAGTTATTAAGTTAGTGGGTTTTAATAAAAACTAATATATATGAAAACTATATATAATTACATATAAAAAATTTAATTTATAAATTTATAAGGTTTGAAAATATTGAAACCACAAACCAAACCGTTCGTTAGAGTTTCAAAAATTTAAAACCATAAGTAAAACCATAAAGAAAAATAGAAACCATGAAACGAAGCAAATGTCCGATTAATCCCTCCACCCTACGTGTTTGTTTTATATATACTTCTTTTGCAAAGAAACAAAAAGCAAGGGAGGAATACGTAACTTTTAGTACAAGTGTACAACAGACTCCACAACCTCTAAAACCCTAAAAACTCGTCCCCTCCACATATCGTGCCTCTTCCGCCCTTCTCAGTTTCTTGCGGGCTTAAAGTTTTGCATACATCAAGAAACTGATTTTTTCCTCTTCCGTCAAGATGCCGACGATCAGCGATGGTATCACTAAAGCTGAAAAGAAGATCAAGAACAGAGACCACAAGCGAAAGCTCGAAGACCCAGAGCCTGAACTCGTTGTAGAATCCAAAAAGGACAAGAAAAAGAAGAAAGAAAAGGTCGAAACCCCCCAAGAAATTGTAAATGGAAACGAAATTCTGAATGGGTCAGACGAGTTGAGCGAGAAGAAGAAAAAAAAGAAACAAAAGAAAGAGGAAGAAGAAGAAGGAATTAAGAACAATGGCGGTGAAGTGGAGGAGGTTAGAGAAACCGAAGATAATGTTGTGGTCTCTGGTAAAGATATTAATGATTCAAAGTACAAAGCTTTGAGTTCCTTTTCAGAATCTAAACTTTCTGAAGAATTGCTAGAGTGTTGCAAGAATTTCAATAACCCTTCGCCAATTCAATCGAATTCGTGGCCTTTTCTTTTACATGGTCGTGATTTTATTGGGATTGCTAAAACTGGGTCAGGTAAATTTGATCATATGCTTTAAATCACTATGGGTTTTAATTATAAAGTAGAGGTTTCGTGGTTTGGGGTTTAAAGTTTTGATTTCGATTTGATCAGGGAAGACACTGGCCTTTGGGATACCTGCCATGAATCATATTTTGAACAAGAGGAAAAACAAACCAACCAAGAAAGTGACTCCACTTTGCCTTGTACTTTCACCCACAAGGGAACTTGCCCAACAGGTATGTATTCCATTCCAGTTACAGAAGTAGTCTCGTTTTTAGAATGGTTGATAGTTATGATCTTCAATTTCTCATAGTTCACTGAACTTATTCTAATTTCAATTCTTATTATTCAATCAGTAATTTGATTTGTCTGATGAGAGATTGGCTGTATTTGGCAGATTTTTGACGTTCTATCTGAAGCTGGGAAACCCAGTGGGGTTCGATCAGTTTGTGTGTATGGAGGAACTTCTAAAGGACCCCAAATTTCTGCTCTAAAATCTGGCATGGTAAGATCACATATCCACTCTTCACTTTTCTAAAGATCTTTTGGGTAAATTCTTCACTTGGCTTTTATTGCCCCCTTTGCCATGAATGGGTCATAGTAAGGGGATAATTTGGTCTAATCAATTTCTTCAATCTTTTGTGACGATTGATCATGGATAAAATAGGAAACCATTACTTGAAACTTCCATGGAAATCTTGGCATTTCATTGTACATCCCAAAATGAAAGCTCTTGTGGTTTTCATGATACAAAGGGAATGTTTGTTACTCTTAAGATAATGATTGTGTATTTTATATGATTATTCACTATTGTACGATGGTTCATTATTGCATTAATGCTTTTGTCAACTTAAATTAACCTATTGATTGCTTTTTCTTCACATCTCTATCAGGATATTGTTGTTGGAACTCCTGGTCGTTTGAAAGACTTAATAGAAATGGGAGTATGCCAGCTACAAGAGGTCTCTTTTGTGGTAAGAACATCTTATTGTCCTAGGAAGGAATAAATTTTTATCTTTATGACCTGTTTTTCTTTTTTTAAAAGAAAACATTTATAAAAGTGTAAATTCTTTAGGCAAACGCAAATCCTGAATGTGACCTTTCTTACAGGTACTTGATGAAGCTGATCGAATGCTTGATATGGGATTTGAACCAGAAGTCCGTTCTATTCTTAGCAAAACAAGTTCTGGTATGTGACTATTTAACAAAATTTTGGAGTTACAATATCAATACCAAATTTATATCAAAGTACTAAATTTTACATCGAAATCTAATAACCTTTTATTATCTGTAGTTCGCCAAGTTGTAATGTTCAGTGCAACATGGCCTTTAGCTGTGAATCAACTCGCTCAGGAATTTATGGATCCAAATCCTGTGAAGGTATATAAATCTTTCTTCACTGCATTGTTATTAAAATCAATGGCTTTAGCAATAAAATGAAAGTTTTTTTTGTGGATTAATTGTATTTAGATATGCTGCAATTCACCTTGGATTAATATATTATTTTCCAGGTTGTTGTAGGTTCGGAGGATTTAGCTGCCAACCATGATGTCATGCAGATAGTGGAGGCATTGCAATCTGCTATTTTCTTTTACATTTTCATGTTCTTGTAATGTAATATTTTCATTGATGTATCTTTCTTTTACATGTAGGTTTTGGAAGATCGAGCACGTGATGAACGTTTAGTTACATCCACAAGTCAAGAAGGTTTAATATTTCTTGCAATCACCTTTTTCTTTCTTTCAATTTGTGTTCCTCTTCCCTCTCGTTGTTTTTTCACATGAAAACTTTGAACTTAATCTGGTATTTTGTTTTGTCTAAAATCTCAGGAACAGAGTACTGGTTTTTGTTTTGTACAAGAAGGAAGCATCCCGAGTTGAGAGTATGTTGCAAAGAAGGTGCTTTTCTTTACCATAGTTATAAGGAGGACATGAGTACCTTGGCTCTTTATACTGATCTTATTTATTGTTCTTTATATTTTTGAAGGGGTTGGAAGGTTGTTTCCATAAGTGGTGACAAACAACAAAGGGCACGTACCGAAGCACTTGCTTTATTCAAGGATGGTAGCTCTCCACTCCTGGTAAGTATCCATTAAGTGCTTTCTGTATTAAGTCGTTCTTTATACATTAAGAGTTTATCTGATTGATGTGATGTGTATGCAGATAGCAACCGGTCTGGATATTCCAGATGTTGAAGTTGTAATAAATTACAGCTTCCCATTGACCACAGAGGATTATGTCCACAGAATTGGGAGAACAGGACGTGCTGGCAAGAAGGGTGTTGCACATACCTTCTTTATGAAGGAGAATAAGGTACTTACATTCCACCACCACCACCAGTGCATGGTGTGTTTGTATGTTTGCTTTTTTTATATTAAAAAAAAAATGCAATGTAATGTGATTCAGGCACTTTCTGGGGAGCTGATAAATGTGCTTAGAGAAGCGGGACAGAATGTACCTACTAACCTGTTGAACTTTGGGACTCATGTCAAGAAAAAGGTTTGACTTTTGTGGTCAACTGTTCCATTTATGAAATTCAAAATTGAAATGTTATGAGATTGAAGTTTATATTTTTATTTGTGGATGAAGGAATCGAAGCTGTATGGAGCCCATTTCAAAGAGATATCTGCAGATGCACCTAAAGCCACAAAGATTACATTTGACTCTGATGAAGATTGATTCAAATTTTGACCAAAAACCAAGTGTTCTTAATATATTTTCTCATTCGAATGTTTCCTTTTCTTATTTATTTATTATGAGTTATAGTTGGATAAATATGATGAAACTGCAACATTACTATCAGCTTGTAGTGTATTTATATGATCTGATTATTTATGCAACGTTTTTGTATCCTTATTTATCATTCTTACAAGCAAGTCTAGGAGAACCAGAATGTGTTGATCATATTCTTATTGTTACTTTTACAATGGTTCTGGTAATGTTAAGATTATAAAAATAACAACTTCTTATATTTGTTAAACGCTCACTAAGAGCAAATGTGTAAGCAAAATACACATTAAACAGATTTAACTGGTGTAGTAAAATATAAATTACAGAATGACTTAAGTGATGAAATTACAATAAGTAATTTAACATGTATGAAAAAAAATAGGCTCAATCTGTTTTAGTTTTTTCATGTGTCAAAGTACATGCCATGGGAACCTGTAATTCACAAACTTTACAGAGCTGTTTGTAAGTCACTAATTGTAACATCATTATTGCCACTTTGTGTGCGACTTAAATCACCAAGACTAGTTTGAAGCTGTTTACTGGTTCCAGAAAGTTTAAAGTTTGAAAAGGGGATTAAAATGCATTGTTATTTAAATGGTTCCAAAAGGTTTAAATTTTAAAAAAGGACTGAAGTACATTGCTATTTCTTGCAATTAATCTACTTGATGCTATTTCCAGAGAGTTTAAATTTTAAAAGAGGGCAGAAAATACATTGCTATTTCCTGCAAAGTATAAACCAGCTTCAGGGTGAAAATGAAAACAAGCTATTTCTTGGGGGATTACGTGATTAGTCCACACCTAAAGAATTGAAAATGAAGTTCAAATGCTAAATGCAAGAAATAACATTGTACTTTAATTTAGTTGTGTATGATAGCACCCTACTTTCATTTCTTTCTATTACAACATTAAATTTTTATTTTTCCTTCCTAAAGTAATGTACTTTGATAAATTTAGGGTTGAAATGCACCCGATATGTGAAAGATTATATGTTTCTTTTTTGTATATAAAAGAAGATACTTAAAAACAACAGCTTGTGATTAAACTCAAGGGAGTGTTAGTACTTAGTACATAGGCAATAAAGTCGACTACTATTAAAAAAAAAAACAAAAATTGCATCACTTTATCATAAAGACACTCGAGTGCCTTAAAATAAAACAAATAGTACCCTACATTATAAGCTCCTTGCTTTCTTTTCATTCATCAGATTTACTTTCATCAGGAGAAGGGGGAAACACTTGCTGAATCAACTCCACCAACTCACCCACATTTTCACCAAGGCGTGACTCAAGATCCTCTATCAGAGGGTCGATTTCCACTTCACAAGTCGGCCTAATGTTGATGACACTGGTCATCTCAGGGTTTGAAAGCTTGTAAGGTTTACATTTTGTCACAAACTCAACAATGCTTTCTCGTGTTTGACTGGGAGCCACACTCTTCTCTAGGTGGTCATAAACCTTGAATTCTGAAGGTTTTAGGGGAGCAAGCACCTTTGTGGGATCTTTTGCAGCCCCTCTAGAACGTAGGAAATCCAGTACTTCAAAATTTGTAAGAAGCCCTGCATTCTCTTTTAGTATCTTCATCACTAAAAACAGCTAACCTGATTTCAATGCACAATATTAGGAAGAATCAAGACAAATCATGATTACTATACAAGTAACAACTAGCAATAACAGACTATCACTCAAATCAGCCTTCTCCTAATTAACAAACCCTAACAAATTATTAACAATAACCAATAAACAAATAAATAGCCAGGCATATGATCACTAGAAAGAACAAGTAATTTAACTTATGATTATTGTTTGTAACCAGTAAAGATTAAGAAATCATCCGGTTTATTCTACGTTTTTTTGCACTTTTACTGATACACAAGTAGAGTCATTAATCGTCAATGAAAATTCAAGATTAATAAGAATCACTAAATTCACAAAACGGTGAAACCGAAATTAAAAATTAATGGGTGTAATGGAACATAAATCGTATGAAGAAAAGGAAAACCTGTTGAGGACAAGAAGACGAGATGCAGTAGTTGAATAGAAGGATTAGGGTTAGTTGGCGGAGGAATGGGAGAGAAAAACGCCGGCAGGCAACAGGGGAAAATAAAATAAAATAAAAAGCAGCAAAGAGATTCGAACCCTAGCCTCGTATGAGAGTAGGATTACTCATTGGATGACTAAACAACTAGTGTAACGTATCTTTAATAATTTTCTTTCTACGTTTCATATATATTCTCCTTAAAACTACTAACCCAACTAGTATAATCCTTGTGTACAGGGCCGGTCCCCTGAGGATTCAAATGCCCAGGACGAGCCGGAAAAAAAGGCCCTTAGTTCCTTAGTTCTAACGGGTAACGAATTAAATTATATAACCTAAAGTTTTTTTTTTTTTTTTAAATGACGATAGACTTGATTTTACATGAGCTTAGATTGTAGTGCATGATCTGAACAACTGCTTATTCACCAATATAGTTAACCAAACTATCTCAGGTAGAATTCAATGGAATCCGATTCAATTTTCAAGCATCTTTACATCACCTAAAATAATTAGTGATCACACCATATTCACATAACTAAGATCACATTTATTCATTTATATAGTTTACCTAGACCATATTGCAAGAAGGAATTGACAAGAATAGCATATCATTTTGGATGGTACAAGAAGGAGAAGAGCAAGTGGAAGAAAGCCACAAAGAACAACCAACCTAAAGGAATATAATATGGTTTCCAATAAATGAAAAAAAAATTTCATATCTAACTTCAACAAAGGTTCTGTTCAAATCATTGTAAGGTTATAAACAAGAATAGGATATTAAGACTATCAAGTCTGCTTGAAAGGTTTATGATTTTAAAAAATCAATTTCCTATTTCAATCTCACACTTGGATACCTACTTGGTCATCCAAGAATATAGTAGAAACCAAAGCTTCATTTTAATCGAATATCAGATAAGTTATTGTCTTTCTCTGCGGTTTTCTTGGTGAAGCCTTGTTAAGATTGGGGCAAAAGTGCAAAACATTTGAGTTTCATGATAATAGTTTAGCTAAGTACAGAAATCACCAAATGCAAGTCAATTATGCTTTACCAGTGATCTTTATGGTTACTAACAATCATGTTGGACTCCATATATGTTTATTTCTGAAAGAGATGTACTCCTAATATCCACCCCCCATAAATATTCTAACTTGATCGATGGAAAATATACAATTTCTCGATTTGTACTTGAGTGTTCTTGAGAAGTTCCATACTGGGATCAACAATATAAACACAGTAGTTCAAACCTAACTACAAGAAGTTGAAGAATGAAGAATTATGAGATGATGGAAGTACCTTTTGAGAGGAAGAGCCGATACCTAGAGGGTTTGATGAAGACGAAGAACCAGGCACCGCACAGGCGGCCCCACCCGTGACCAACTCCCTCGCTTGAAGCCTTGAATGATCGCGTCTGGCCGTCTGCCTTCTGCCTTCGCGTGTGGATTATGGACTGATCGATCTATCCTTTGCATTTTTTGGGCCTTTTCCTGAATATATCATAAAAAAAATTGGGTTTAGTATTTTTGTTTATGTTAGATATTTTGGTAATGGTATTGATGAATGCCTAGATCATCGAGGGTATTTGTATCAACATCCGAAACAAATTGGTTAGCCGTATTTCCGGTTCGGAATCCGAAAATACACTCCGACGCTAAAGTTAGTATATGTGAAGGTGAACAATAGAGAACTAGAGAAGAAGAGTTTAGATGTTTAGAGTATATATAATATGTAACATGCTTGAAGTCTTCCCTTTTGTATTTATAAATGATGAACACTTATTGGTTTTGAATCAGGATTCTTTAGAATAATCCATTTGAATTTGAATAAAAATTGCTTTGAATTCGAGATAGACTCGTTTAAAATGTATATCAGATAATGTATATATTGATATACAATGGAGTATGTAATATATATATATATATATATATATATATATATATATATATATATATATATATATATATATATAGTGTGTGTGTGATATATCATTAGATATATTGGTAATTTATAGTTTGATTTATGTTGTTATTTTGGTCAGTGGCAAACATAGGGGGTTCCTAGGGTGGTCGGTACAATCCCTCAAATTTTAAAGTACAACGTAATTTTTTTTCAGAAATTTTCCGGCATAATGTAAATTTTTCGGCGTGTTACCTCTAAAATCATGTATGCAACCACTGAGATTTCGTGTTGCGTCCACCACTAATTTTGGTAATTGTTAGTTTGATAGTTTGGTTTATATTAACGTATATATTTATTTTGTAGTCGGGAGATCGTGTTGATGCTATTATCAATAACCCGACATATAGCGTGAAACTTGTAAACTGGTTTGTGAGTTTCGATAGTTGTCGAAACAAGATGATACTAGGGTGCTAATGAGGGGAACGAGGGGTACAAATAACAATTTAGAGTAGTTTTATGTTTTATTTTATGTTTGGTGTTTTAAATTTGTGTATTTACTTGATTAAATTAGTTTAAACTAGTGAAGAATCCCCGCTTTGCGGGGTTGAATTTGCATTCTACTATTTCTGAAACGAAACAAAGTACAATGTTATAGCGTATACTCCAAGGTAATTTTTTGGTTGTACATCATTGAAGGAGATGGCTAATGGATGTATGGGATTTTATAGGTATAATTGATGCTCCTAATACAAACATGTGAATTTCAACAACAAAAAGGAGCACATGTTCATCTAAAAAGGAGATCATTTCAAGTACGGCTATAAATGGTATTATCCATGATCCTACTAACCAAAATGAACCAATTCACAGGAGCATCACCTGCATTCTCAAATTTAATAATTAATTTAACAAAAACAAACTCTTCATTTTGCGTCTTAAAATGAATCTTTCATACAATTCATTTGTATGGAATATTATGTCAAAATGCAAAGAGCTACACTTGTAAAATGGTGTTAGCTGTCCATGGCATTGTCCATGGTTCTGCAGTAAATACAACATCTACAGCCTGAAAATAGCATTCGGACACATCAGGAAATATTATTTCTCTCTACACTTTCACATAATAAAGTGCATACAATAGATCACAATACTAAAACAAAAGGTAGAATATATACTTTCTGTGTGTATAGTTAGTTATCCTGTATAAGACATTAGCAGATAGCTACTACTTTGTTAAGAATATCTCAATGATGTGATTGGTATAATAACCATATTCAGTGATTCCAAATGCACTACTAAGAAGGTACTAAATATGAAAAAATGACTACCTGTTTGAAGTTTAGCACCCAATCATGATTCACATTTGGTTGTTTTCTTTCTGGTTCTACCATTTCTCCAGGAATCATATCTTCTATAGTTTCAGAGGTAGAATATCTTGAAGATAATCAAAGGGGTGTTAATGTGGTATCACAAGAAAGGCATATCTAGTATAAATTGTATAAATTATCAAAAGGTTCCGGTCCCTTCATCCAAGTAGGAAGGAGGGAAAAAATTACAAACAATTTGTCTATATTCATATCCAAGATTCCATTCAGAAACCATGACTTTGTTGACCAAGATGATTCCCAGGAAATCCAAAGGACCTTGCTAGGAAACGTACATGTTAATGGTAAACATGTAGATTTGGAATCATTGAGGAAAACTGTATGTGTCATGACTAAAAATATGTAAATACGGTTGATAAAACACTAACAGAGGGTGATTTAGCTATCCACATGATTAAGGTTGTGTTTGAGCCTTCTTTGTTGGAGCAATATTACAACCTTAAGGGGTTTTGTTCGTAACCCTATACCTGTATTGGAGACAGAGGTAAAAGAAGATGGAATCCAGAATGAAGAAAAGAATAGAGTTGAAGTCTTACCCAAATAGAACTGTAACCTTAATTTCAAATCCAAAAAAACCTTGCTTCCATCTCAGTTTCCTTCAGGTTGCTCACAGATGTAGACGTAGGGCTTCATCATCAAGAGTCGCCGATTTTGACTTATACAGAGTGAGAATCAGGGATTAGGGAAGTTCTCATGGAAAATGATTGGATAATCATCTTTGGTCATCTACAAAAAGAGGGTTTTCGTTTACATTTTTTGTCTAAGTTTCTTCCATCACCCAAACTTAGATCAAGAAATTTCAAAAAACACCACACAAATAAACAAATCAGTCTCTTGAATGAAGTAAACAATTCCAAAACACGTAATTACTAATAAAAATAATTTCTTATTCTTCTGGACAATCAAAACCGTTAAATTTATTAAAAAAGGGGTTTTGAGGTGTGCGGCAAATTGGGGCCGCGTCTCTCTCCCAATTTAATTTACGTTAATTCTAAGCCCTTTAAGCCTGTTGATGACGATGCAATGGAAGATGAAAGAGATGAACAATTACCTTAGCATTCGATCCTAGGGCTCCAAAATCCATCAAAGCACAACGACAGGGAGAGGAAGAACCCTCAATCCTTCCATTCTAGGAGAGTTGCGAAGGGAGCCAGCACTAGACGAAGACGAAGAAGACGCAGTAAAAGGGAACTTGCGCTTTGGCATTTTACACATTTAGACGTGAAGAGATAGAAAGGAAAGAAAAAATATGAAAGGAACCAACATTCAAACACAGGATAATATAGAAAAGGGGAAAATGATGGTTGAGCAGTTACCTCTAAAGAAAGCCGACGATCCGGAGGAGAGCAAAAGAGAAGAGAGATGTAGGAGCCATTCGGTGGAAAACGTTGATATGGCAAAAGAATGAGCAGGAAAAGGAACACGTAGACAACAGTTTGAGAAGTGAAGACACGTGTAATCCACTAAAAAAGTTAATTAGACAAAGAACAAAGCAGAAAAAGAAAAAAAAAATTCATCCAATCACATGAAAGTCTTGTTCACCAAGGACTTGTAAATTAGTATGTATATAAATAATTACTCCAAGTGCAAAATAAATATTATGTTTGCATATTTTATACATATTTAATTATATAATCATTCATCATATGATATTTATATTTAATTATATAATCATTCATCTGCTAAGTAATTAAGGAATATAAGGTCAACATCAATTGAGACAATGAAGTCAACCTCCGGCATTATTACAAAAATAATTAACTGGAGTCTGCCTTCGGAGCATGGACAATGTATTCGTCAGCTTCTTGTTCTCTCCGGACATCACTTGGGAGATGCTTTTTAAATCAAAGACTTGGTGTAATAACCACTACACAATATAATTAAATCAAAGACTTGACGTGACAATTGTTTAAAATGTTGCATGAAATGATAAAAAGCATCAAATAAAAATTAATAAAAAAAATATTGTAGTTTTTATTTATGAGTATGTAATTTTACATTAAATGATACAAATGATAGTTTGTGCGTTTGTTGAATTAAATGATTGAAATAAAATGTATGTTGTATTCATTGGTAAATTATATGTTGTATTTTAATATTTTAACTTTTAGCAATTAATACCAAATCGGCTAAGTCGGATAGTCTTTGTAGGCGAAAATTTAGTTATGTTGTTAATTTAGGAGTATATCTTCTAATATTAGTATATCTCAGGTGTGTTCATCAAAGGTCATTGGAATAAAGTGAAATTCTATGGTTTAACTCATGATTGTCAAGATCTCGATTTTGATCGTATCATCTTACCAAAAAAAAAAAAAAAAAAAAAAATCTCAATCATGATCGATTTGAAACACGATCTACACCTAGATCTTAAGATCTCAGCTAAAAAAAAATTAATACGAGAGTAAACCAGTCAACCTGTTAACGATTCGGTAGATTTGGTTTCGGGCATGAAAAATTGGGTAATTGGTTTACCTGTATTCGGTTCAAGTTTAGTTTAGGAAAATTTGAAGTCATACAACTTTTTTTTGTGAAGTTAAAGTCATTCTTCAATTTCTAAATTTTTTTAGTCAAGTTGCATACTCAACTCATTACATAATAACCACTTCCTATTTACCCATATGTCCAGATCTCTCGTTTGCTAGATGTTCAAACATTATGAATGATGATGATTATATTTTAGCATAGTCAAAAAACTGTTTTTTTTTCAACCCAAAAAGATAGAACAAGATTGGACAGCGGCCCGCTCATGCTCCTGATCGAGTATTTTCAAAAGACATAAATACCCTCATCCCCATCATTGAAAATAGTCTTATCAAACTTGTCCAACCAGTTTCTCTTCAAATATCACCCATGTATTCGGTCTTCACTAAAAGTGGCTAACTCATCAAAACGATGACATGTTTATGCATTAAAGGAAAAAAAACATAATACAAATATACTAGAAACATGGCTTACCTTGCCATTTATGAAAATACAAAATTCAAAGTCATAATGGACACAGACTAGGCAATAAAATACAATTTTGAAACATAAAAACAACTAACCATACTACAAATGGGCTAAGAAATTTTCGTCATCATTTTCTGCAAAAGGGTTATTGGATCATGTCAGAGATAAATCTATACACAGTAGAACCAATTGTCTGTGTGGCTGTTGAGACTCGAACCCTTGACCTTTTCCGCAAGTACAGAACTTTGCTATGCCCAAGGGGCAATTTCGTCATATTATTGAAGATCCTTGGAACTCGACTCCCCACCATTTTTCCACAAATAATTGGATGACCCCGATAAAAGGAAAGAGAAATTGTCGGAATCTTCGAACAAACTTCGAGGAAACTCCTGAAACCTGTTCATATTTGATTCTATGTTCAAAGGCGAAAAACAAGTACCTGGGTCACCCACAGATCCATTTGAATTGAAATTAAAATCAAAGAATCCAACTTCTTTAGACCCTTCAATGTTATTATTATAATTATCCCCATGATCATGATCATGTCCACCAACTGCTCCTCCTTTCGGATCATCCACTGGAATTGCAGGAGTGTGGCCTTGAAAAAGAGCAATGTGTCCAAAAAGTTTATCTTTTCTTGAAAATGTTGTCCCACATGAACAAATCCACCTGTCACGTCCACAATGCTTCTCGTGTGTTTTAAGATCTGCAATCACTGAAAACTTCTTGGTGTTACAACGGCTACATGTATAGCTTTTATCACAATGGGTTCTTTTATAATGATTCTTTACACATAAGATTGTCTTCAATGGCTGAAACTTCTTGTGATCTTTATTCCTTTTACAACCAACATAAGGACATGAATATCTCTTGATAAGCTTCACCTCTGTACCTGGATCTTTATGGGGTTTTGCTAATGCTGCTGGGGTTTTATACTCGTCTCCATGACCTCTCATATGCATTCTCAAATTGGCATCTCGTTTGAAACCTTTCCCACAAATCACACAGAAATGAGTGTGGGGTGCAAGAATTTCGTCTTTTTCAAGCTGCAAGATTTCATAAGAACCAGGGGGGAGATTCTCTCCTTCATCAACATCATCATCATGTTCTTCATGGACATCCATATGATCAGTTTCATTCGAATGATCTTCGATCTTGCTTACCATATTCCCATGAGTGTTACCATCACTATCATTATTATCATCACAATGATTATGTTGTGGAAGGCTGACAACTCCATTACCAATAGATGGATTTGGATTTGGAGAAAATTTTGGATGTTTGACAGCTGGAAGAAGGCTGCCTGCAGTGGATATGAGCTGAATTATAATCGAAGTCAGATCTGCAGTAACAAGTTGCTGCTGTTGAATCAGAAATTCATTTGGTTGATCCATAGATGATTTGGAAACGATTAATTGCACCAGTTCCTGGAGTTGATGAATTTTTTCTTCCATGACAGAGAGATTACTCAGCATGGTTGTGGGATCCCATAACTGAGGTTTGATTTTAGCCTCGAGATCTTCTTGAATGAGCTTGATTTGGGTCAAAGAAGATGGGATTGTTTCCAATTTTTTTCTTATCATCACATCATAATCTAAAATGGAAGAGTTTTCCCTTTGCTGCTGTTGCTGTGAATCATAGTTTGAGAAAAGCTGATGACTATCCCGACAGATTTCATCAAATAATTCATTAGAGGAAGAAGGCTTCGCCCATGGGTCTGAAGGTAGCTGCTTATTTTTAACATCCATTTCTTAGATCTAATAAAACAGTATTTCAATATTAGAATCTTAGAATCAATTCCCATCTACATGAAGAATATAGCAATTAAAAACCCTAAAATACTTAAATAACAAAGATCGACATACTGAAATGTTAACTTTTAATCCAATATGACATGTCATTTTGCTCATAAACACTAATAAGACCCAAGTCAAACCCTATTGAAATGAAATTTTCATCATCAATCTGAACCAAAAGTCAACTTACATTTGTAACAAAATTAGGGTCACAACACGACATGAAGATGGTGAATAGGAAGTTGTGGCATAGGAGTAGGCACGCATCCAGTAAAAACGAAACTCAGAAACAAGAATCAATATAAACAGTCCAACTTGAAGTTAAATTGAAAAATAGCAAATGAGAAAATCAAAAAGAGGAAGGAGAGTCGTATACCAGATTGAAGAAGATTTGCATAATAGACGAAGAAGATGTCGATGTGGAGGTGGGTTTGAAGGATTGAATGAAAGGGGGGGAAATGAAGAGAATGATAGAACAGAGAGAGAGAGAGAGAGAGAGAGTTAATCCGGAATCTGACTTTTGGTGTAAAAGTGTGTCCAAGTAGTTGTCTTCTTCGTAAATATAGCGAAAGAATCAGGGCCGTTGATCTTTCTTGTACTCTATCTTTCTTTCTTTTTTTTTTTTCTTTTTTTTGAACTTTTTTCCTATTGGTCAATGGTCTAATAACAAGCAAGCGGTTTGGCTTTCTCAACCTCATCATAAGTAGAATAAGTGAATAACTATATTCAAGGCATCTTCATCATATATATAAAAACAAGAATCTATAACAAAGATATTTAATTCTAAATGATAATTATAATTTAGCGAGTGCAAAATTTAAATTTGGGGTTTTGTTTTGATTGCATTAATTATGAATATACTAGACGAATTCTCGCGCGTTGCGCGACGCAGGTTAAAAATATATTGTTAGAATATAGTTTTCAGACACCTTTAGTTAATTCGATTCATCAATTTAGGTTTTTTTATTATTATTATATTTAATATTTTTCCTTTTAACTATGTTTAAAAAATATATATTGAATTTTTTTTAAACATTATTTGATATTTTACTTTAGGTTTTAAATTTTACACTAAATTTTTAAGCTTATTTGATATATTAATGTAGGTTATTTATTTAACTATATATTGAAATTAACAAATTAAGTATATCATATTGATAAGTCACAAATTCTTCCGTTTATGATAATGTTTACAACTAAAAAACATATTTAAGTTAATAAATTAAGCATATTGTATGGAAATATGAAAAGTTGGGAGTTTCAAATGAATGTGGTGAAAGAAAAAATGTTTCCTTTATAATATAGTATGAAACTAATTTTTGTAGCATCAAAATTTTATTTAGATTTTGGGCAAATTGAGTATACTGACTATATGCTTAGGCAAATTTTAAGAAAATAAACAATTTTATTTATTATCGGCAAAGTAACCACCTATTTTGGAATGAGGTATTTTGGGAAACAAAAATTGTTCAAGCCTATTAATGAAGTCCAGTCCTGTATATATGGGGCCCACATTTGTATACCGAAATGTCATTTCAAAAAAACCCGAAAAAAAAAATTATAACCCAAAGTTTGAATACTTTCTGTTTCAAACATAAATTCTACAAACCATATTAGTTTTAGATATTATATTGTGTAGTTTCTTTTTCCGGACCATTAGAGAGGGCCCTATCAAAGAAATTGAATGATAGAGATGCAGAAGTGTGTTTCCAAGAAGCTACCATTCGTGCATTATTATTGGAGTCAACTATATGTAGCAAGTAAAGTGGTAGCGACAACATCTAACACAAGACACATGGTGCCCTACTTTTGGTAGACTACTTCGTTTTTTAATGTCAAAATTATTGTGTCAGTGTAATTAGATGTATGGGATTAGCTGTGTAATGATTAAAATATGTTTGCATTAAAACTGATAAACTTTTATAGTATATCAAAAATAGATTGTATTGATGTACCTATGGTTTTCAAAACATGTCATGATGTACCAAGACAAGTTGAATATGCATTCTACATACTTTGACCTCTTAATCAAAATAAAACAAGAGATGTCTTTAATTGCTTGAACAAACTTTATCCATCTTTATATTTGGGATATCCATTAAGTGTCTTTAATTGCTTAATACGAGTATCCGAATAATTAAAAATAAAATATAAGGCCTAGAAAAAGAAGTTGAAATATGTAATGTTGACATTTTTGAAGCAAAAATTTTATAAAGTAATTGATGAAAAGCATAAAGATGCATGTAGAATAAGAATAATGATGTGAAGGAAACAACAACAACAACAACAACAACAACAATATCTAATTAAGACATTTCTACAAACACTTATGTTACGATGGATGAGGTTTTTGAAGGAAATCATCTTTGCTTGGACTTGAGAGGGACGACTCCTTTGTAAAGTTGGACTTTTTCTTTCAATTGATCTCTTCTAGGGCGTGCGATTTTGTTGTTAGGATCAAATAGCAAGGCTTCCTCAAATGCTTTTAGAGCCGATTTATATTCTTTTATCTTCTCATAAGCATCACCCAAGTTGTTCCAAGCTGTCACATACCCTGGTTGAATCTTCACCGCTGTTTCAAGCTGAGATATTCCCTTCTCCGTTTTCCCATCACGCACGTAACTCACACCCAAAGCATTGTAAACCTGCAACCAATTTTTTAATTTAAAAAAAAAAACATCAAATCACACTTCTACACGTGTCCTTTTTTTTTTAATACCTGGGCAAGATCCTGGTCATCTCCATCCCATTTATCAATAGCCTGATTTAAGTATTTTGTAGCAGCTGGATAGAATTTCCTTCTCAACATCACTGCCCCAAGTTCAAACAGCTCTGTTGCACTTGCATCGCCACTCCTTACTTGTTCCTGATATTTATTTATTTAAAAAAAAAAAAAAAAAAAAAAGACAAGTTAACATATTTATTAAAAAAAAAACAAATTAATGAAAGTATGTTGATATTGTAGTGGTCACCTGCAACTCTTTTGCAGAAAGATCAAGTTCTCTGCGGACAAGAACCTGGCGGATGACAAAAAAGGTCCCGACACCAAGCAACCCTAATAACAAAAGAAGGTATGACAGCTGGATCCCTAATTCAAACAACTCCCCAACCTCATAAACAGGATTCATTTTCTCATATTCACTTGCAGTTGCAGCTACTGGGTTTGACCAACTCAACAAACTCATTGACCCACTTGAAAACACTGCCATACTGATCAAATCCTTTTTTGAGTTTCTTGCATCTTTCCCACTTGCTGATTCTGCAACACAACAAACGGATTTCAATTAGAGTTACAAGGTATATTCTTTAGTGGATTAGTGGGATTTCTTCAAAATGTTTTAGTAATGACTAATGTACATTTGTTAAATTAAAAAATGAAAAATTCAAGACCTTGGATGCTAGATTATGGTTACATTACCTTGTATTGTCCTTCTTCCATTGACTGCCAAAGACACACACCGCATATCAATATATTGCAGCCAATAAAGCGTATTCTTGACACAAGAATATGATCATTTTTTTAAAATAAACGAGTAACTTCAGTTTCTACAATAATGAAGGGAAAATATAAGACTCGGTTTAAACTCAGCTTATGTAAGATACTGAATCATTCTGATTTAAAAATCTTGATTGTATCATTCATTCATGCAGTCTGAGTTTTTTAGAGTAAGGTGTTGTTTCTTTTTGACTTAAGAAACTTAACGCGCTTAATCCTGTAAGCTATATATGGCTGTTTATTTAATGCAGAAAGAACAACTTAATATGGAAAGGAGACTTTCCTCATTAATACCTAACTTTTTACGAATTCGCCATCATTTATATTTTCATTCCATTTCATCAAACATGCCATCATTTTCTTCAATATTTTTTAAACATTATATTCAGACATTGTACTTTAAAAACTATATCCAATTATAGCATTTGGTCTTCAATTTTCTTCTTATTCGGACATTATACTTTGAAAAATCTACTTCGGTATGGCACTGAAAATTGCTTTGTATTGGGGTGAAATTGCTATAACTAGGTGGATTTTTCAATATACAATGTTGCAAGAGGTAGAAATGAAAGCAGAGTGTTATAATAAACAAATCAATGGATATGTTGCTATCTCTCGCATTTAACCCTTGATCAAATGTTGAAAATGCTCCTTGTTTGGGACAAAACAAAGAAAACTTGTGGATCACAATACCAGGGGACAAAAGAATAGACTAGATTTAAAAACTTAAGACACAAAAATGTATGCAATTGTTTTAAGGACAACTCAAATTTGAAAATATTGCATTAAGAGGGAGTAAGTTATATGGGAGTAAGCACTTGCATATACTATACCTATACAAGTAACTAGTAATAAAATTATGTGATTGCAACAGTCATATAGAGTTACAGTAACAGACATAGACAGGGGTCAATGAAATTACCATCAAGTTTCGCTGAGGTAACTGTCTGAAAAGCTCCCAATTCTCTTCTACATGTCTGCGTTATGGTATGAAAGACACAGTTAGTATCCATATCAATTCTTTCTCAAACACGAATTCATATGGATAGTGTTGCAATGTCAAAAACAAATTTGTTACATCAATTTGGAATTGGGGAAGAAACATTCAAAGTCAAGTGTATCCTTGTTGTATTGAAACAGAAAGAGTCTAAAATCACAGTTCCGACTAATCAATCGACACTAAAGAATGAAGTATTATTGGCACGTTTCCGACACCATAGCACAAGTTGATAAGAAACGAAATTATGGGTGAAGTTATAGAAAACAATAGAAGAGCAAAAGAGCAACCTGAACGGAGAAATGTTGGCGAGTGAAGTTAATCTTGATGGGAAGTTTGTGGGAAATAAAAGCGGGGATGAAGAGAGAACCGTGAGAACGAATTAGTGAGATTTGTTTAAGGGGAGGTGAAATTCGTGATTGAAGGATCATCGTTTCTACGTCTGCCTGCTCAAGAACGCCTCGTCTGTTCAAAAATGGTGGATGGTCGTTGGAATTTGGATGCTTGAGAAGATAAGTTTATCTGTATCTTCCACGGTATTCCCATGCTTCGATACTCACCAGTATAAAAGAGATTGGCATCTTGTTTGCCGTAAGGTAAAAATAAATAAATAAATAAAAATTGTGGATTATTTAAGTTACAAACAAACTTGTTATTAGAAGGAAAAGTATAAAGATATTTAATTTCTCATAAAAAAAATTTAATAAGTTGATCATCAATTTTAATATTTAGATATTCTCTAAACTTACCACCTTAATATATCACAACAATACTATATTTTTCCAAAAATAATGAAAATTTCACTAGCAAATTCATGATATGTTTTTCATGACAAAAACATATTGATAATTATGAATTTATTTCATTCACGAGGTATTAATCATTATTATATACTTATAAAGGAAGCATTTTTCATTTCACCACATTCATTTGAAACTCTCATTCTTTTTTCTTTTCACCACATTCATTTGAAACTCCTATGACTTTTCAATTTCTTTATAATAATAATTATAATTTGTTAAAATAGGTTAAATAAATATAAAACCTAAAGTGTAATCATATATAAACTAAATTTCAATATTAAAATAATATCTTTACTTCTACTTATAAAATTATGTTTTTTAACTTTTAACATATTATAATTAATTTATTAGTGTTAATATATTGTTGGATGTAAACCATTATCATTTTAAAGGTATAATTTTGGAACAATTTGTATAAGATACTTAAATTATTAATTAAAATATAAAATTACAAGGTCAACTTGAATAAAAAATTTTGTTTAAGTTAAACAACCCAAAGAATATTTTATAAATAGTTAAAAATGATAAATTTTAGTGTCTTTCTGATAATGGTTATAAATTGGTTAATAATGTTAAATAAATATCAAACCTAAAGTGTAATTTTAAAATAATATATTTACTTCTATTTATAAAGTTATGTCTTTAAATTTTAAAATATTATACTTAATTTATTAGATTTAAAATGTTGTTGTATGTAAACCATTATCAGTTTAAAGCTACAACTTTTCAACAGTTTGGACAAAATACTTTAATTGTTAATTTAAATATAACATTACAGTGTCAACTTAAATATAAATTTCAGTTCCGCTAAAAAAACCAAAGAATGTTTTATAAATAGTTGAAAGTGATAAATTATAGTGATAAATGCAAAAACTAAATTGTAATATCAATTTAACTAAAATATTTCCTAAAGATATTTTTATAAACGTTAAAAGTTTTCAAAATAAGTAGCTTAAAATAATTTACAATAAAAATAGTTAAAAATAACTCTATATAAATAATTATATTGTTACCTTTAAAATCAAAAAATAATGTTTGATGTTTTAAATAATTATAATGATAGAAATTAAAATATTAAGCAAAAAAAATTTAAAAAAATTAGTTAACAATAACAACAACTATAAATAACATTAAACTATATATTATATTTAATTTTATACATGTGTAACTCGCGGGTAGAAGTCATTCAAACGATTGAGATTATGAAGTTATAATAGATGTATATATATTATCATATAATTCAAAATAATCAATATATTATATCAATTTAGTATATAAATTATTATATCAAATTTAACAACAAAGTTATTGTTATATTTAAAAAAAACATATATTTGTAAAAACTTCAACTATATAGGTGTTTCTGCGCAACGCGCGGGCATTCGCCTAGTATTACCATATACTCATGCGTCTATCGTAAATGCCATTTGCTTTCGTCTCATGATTGTGTTTGGTATACATGAAAGTTAATTTTACCATCTTCCTTCTGCAGTTGTTGTTGGGTGACAACAAAACAAGTTAAGCACTTCAGACAAATATCAAAACACAAACTTCGGTAAACACACAAAACTTCTGAAAACGTAAATAAAAAAGAACACGATATTTAACGTGGTTCGGTCAAGGTGACCTACGTCCACGGGTGAACGAGAGAGAGAAGATTTTATTAACTTTCTGGAACAATTACAAGCACTCGAAATTGTATCTCACTTTGAGCTCTCATAAAAATCTAGCAATTTACAATGATAGGGGTGTGAGCCTATTTATACTTGAGGGATCAAACCTAAAACTCTAATGGGCCAAGCCCATTGGTCCATAGGCCCATGAATGGTGACAACCAATCACAATCCGTCATGCAACATCTTCTGGAACATTCTTGAGCATCATCATCTTCTAGGCATACTTGGATTAACATGGCACAACAAAGGAATCAATATGGTACATCATGTACCAAGATGGTCCATGATGGCGCAACAGCTTCTTCATGGAGCAAAAGCAACCCTAGATGGCGCAACATGGGATATAAATGGCACGAGAGCATCAAGTATGGCGCACAAACATCAATCTTGGAGCAACAGCATCACCATGGAGCAATAAGAACATGCATGACGCAACAAGTTCATGCATGACGCAACAAGTTCATGCATGGCGCAACAAGAAGCATCATGGCGCAAAAGGAGAACAAGATGGCGCAAGAGGGAGTGTCATGGCGCAAGAGCATCCCTCTTGGCTCATCCCTTTATCAAATGGCGCAACAAGGAGTACTTGTTGCTTCATATCCCTCCCAAGTGCTCCAAACCTTTTCCAGGTGCTCCAAACCCCCTTGTACATGATCAGTTCATTTGGCAATTGATTCGTTCCTTTGTCTGATGATGCATTCCTTTCTCAGAAGATTCGTTCCTTTGTCGCATGCTCCATGAACCTCAGGTGCTCCATTGAGTTCTAAGTAATCCAAAAGCTTCATGAACAAGATCCAAATGCTCAATGTTGGATAAGACTTCATACTCTAACAATCTCCCGCTTGAAGGATTGAACAACTTCATCTGCCATTCAAATTTCACCATTCCTCAAAGTACTCCCTCTCTCTCTCTCTCTCTCTCTCTCTCTCTCTCTCTCTGCCAAGCCCTTTTCTTCAAACTTCTGAAAGGCCAGTTGAAGCCATGCAAAGCTTCAACTTCTCTGTGGTAACCACCTTGGTGTACATATCAATTGGATTCTTCGTTCCAAGGATTTTTTTTTTCAAGTTTAGAGTTCCTTCATTGATGAACTCTCAAATGAAATGGTATCTCATATGAATGTGTTTCGTTCTGCTGTGAAACACTGGATTCTTTGCTAAGTGAACTGCACTTTGGTTGTCACAATGCAGTACACAATCCTCCTGCTGCATTCCAAGTTTTGACAAGAAACTCTTCAACCATATGAGCTCTTTGGCAGCTTCTGCAAGTGCCATGTATTCTGTTTCTGTGGTTGAAAGAGCAACACTCTTTTGTAAACTTGACATCCAACTGATTGTTTTACCTCCAATTGTGAACACATAACCCGTTGTGCTCTTGCCTGAATCTGCACATCCACCTAAGTCAGCATCACTGAACCCTTCTAAAACTACTCCTTTTCTTCTGAAACACAAGGAACACTCAATTGTTCCATTTAAGTAGCGTAACAGCCATTTCACTCCTTCTCAATGTTGTCTTCCTGGATTTGACATGAATCTGCTCACAACTACTACTGCATGAGCAATGTCTAGTCTGGTGCAAACCATTGCATACATTAAACTACCAACTGCAAATGCATAGGGAACTTTAGCCATGTATTCTTTGTTTTCTTTCGTCTTTAGGGATTGCTTCTTGGTAAGTCTCAACTGACTCCCCAATGGTGTACTTCTGGCTTTTTGCATCTGTCATGCTGAACTTTTCTAAAACTTTCTTGATGTACTTGGCTTGTGAAAGTTTTAGTGTACCGGTAACTTTGTCCCTGGCTATGTTCATGCTCAATATTTGTTTAGCAGCCCCTAAGTCCTTTGTCTCAAACTCACTGGCCAACTGCTTCTTTAGCATGTTGATCTCCTGCATGTCGGATCCAACAATCAACATGTCATCAAAATATAACAATAGGATGATATAAGAGGACTTGAATTTCTTCAAATAACAACAGTGATCCATCTCACATATGTTGTACCCATTCCTCTGCATGAAGCTATCAAAGTTCAAGTACTACTGCCTTGGAGCCTGCTTCAAACCATACAGAATTTTCTTTAGTTTACACACAAGATTTTCCTTGCCAAATGTGGGAAAACCTTTTGGTTGTTCCATATAGATGTCTTCTTCAAGGTCGCCATGGAGAAAAGCTGGTTTCACATCTAGTTTCTCTACATGGAGATCTTCAGAGGCCACAATTCCTAAAATCATTCTGATTGTAGTCATCTCCACAATTGGAAAGAATATCTCATTATAATCAACCCCCCTCTTATGTTGGAAACCATTGACTACCAACATTGCCATGTATCTCTTGGTGCCATCAATCTCATCCTTAACCCAAAACGCCCACTTGTGTTGCAGTGCTTTCTTCCCTGCTGGGAACTTGACTAAGGGGCTGTTTGGCAGGATCTGAATTTTTAAGAGGTCTGAATTTCTAAGAGGGTCTGAAACTTTAAGATCTGAATTTTTAAGATGATGTTTGGTTGAAACATCTGAATTGTTATCTGAATGATAAAAATGACCATTTTACCCTTGTATTGTTTTGTTTTGTTCTAAATGATAATTGATAAATGTTACAAATAATCATACAATAACCAGATTAAACATAAATTCTTTCAAATTAAAATTCTTTCAATCTATGGAAACATAAACATCATACAATATAACCAAATTAAACATAAATTCTTCCAAATTCACTTCTTTCAATCCATGGAAACATAAACATCATACAATATAACCAAATTTAACATAAATTCTTCCAAATCCACTTCTTTCAATCTATGGGAGAAAAAAAAACACCACCACCAATCTTATATGTATTTTACCCAATTTCTTAACCAAGGACCTACTTCCTGCACACCAAAACTACATATGGGCATTTATGATTTGATTAAAAAGCCTATGTGAAAAAGTATATCCATTGAAGCTCATAGAACTTTTCACAAACAGTTGGTGTGCATAAGAGCTTCAATGAGTGAACTCATGTACCTTCATATTTTAAAGTTATACCTATAAAGATAAACCTGCACTAATGAGTAGAAAACATATAAATCGGCTCTCCTAAGAAGT